AGAAAATCTCTAGCAAAAGTCTCCGTTTGCTTCCATGTCTACAGTAGTAGAAACGATTGAGATGAGAGAGAAGTCATGACTGTTGTTCACAGGGTTGTGGATTTGAAGAAAACCCCAAATCTAAGCATTAAAGTTTGGCGCTTAACTTGTGCAGACATGAATGATGCCTTAAATCATGCAGCTTTGTTGAGAATGTTATTTTTCTAAGCGAATGCATTTTTGGCTTTGGCATTTGCAAACAGTAAGTTTTCTTCTGCAATTGTAAAGCTGTAGTTTGTGATTTTTCTTTCCTGTGAAGAATCTTTGAAGTCATTGAGTATAAATGAGCAGCAGTTGACCTGCATGCTTTTCCAGTGATCAAACACATCAAAAGGTTTTTCTTTCTCTGCGGTCGTAACGTCTTGAGCTTCTCCATTTATCCAGAGCATCCGAGTAAGAGATCAAACTGATGTGATACTTGCGTTCTGTCTAGTAAATGGGCCCATTGTCTCCATGCAGAGCTGTAATTTTCTCTAATGAGGCCCTTGATATATGCTGCGTGTGTGGCACGGATGTGGCTAGAGATGTATTTATTATGCGTGGCACATGTGGTTTTTGCTCGTTTTGTAAATAAAAGACATTCTGTTGATTTATTCGAACAAATGCACATCAACCCACTTTTTCAGCTCTACTGTGCTTACAAAACTAGTTTCTGTTCTGATAGTTTGTGAATGCGTGATCATGAAATAAATAAGTTATTAATAATAATATTACTTTAAAAAAATCTAAATTGAATTTCCAAAAAGTGGAAAAAAAACAAAACATTGACTAACTGTAAAGAATATTTTATTTCATTTGTTTTATTTAAATATTACATGGATAGATTTGTTTTGTTTACATCACCTGGAAAATATTAGAATTTTAATTAAATATTAAATTGAAAGATTATTATTATTATTATTATTATTATTGATGTTTTGTTTATTTGTAAAGTTAATATTGTTAATTTATTGTATACAATTCATTCAAGTATTATGATTAAATTTTATTACTCTTGAGTATGCCATGAGTATAGCCTTTGGTAGATAAGTAAATAGAAAATAAATAAATATTACTTTGAAAATCTAAAGCTGTAATAATAAATAAATAATAATAATAATAATAGTAATAATCTTTCAATTTTATATTTAATTAAAATTCTAATAATATTATAATTATATCATTTTATTTTATTTGTATTTATTTATTTTAATATTATTTTATTACGTATGTTTTGTTTTCATTGAGAAAATTAAGCATATTTATGCTATTTTATTAATACTTTCTGCATTTTTTGAGTAATTTAAGTTTCAGTATTTTGAGCTGTATTTTATTATTCTCACTGTTGTAATACAGTAAAATTTACACTATTTAAGTCAGCACATGTTAAATACATACTCATGATATAACATCTTTAAAAGTTAAAAAAAAAAAATTTGTTTTGCATTACAGTAATGAGAATGAGGTCTTGTGTCATTACGTAATGCGATTGCATGGGAAAATGCAAATGAAAAATGCTAGCAACAAGTGAGCAAAAAGTTTTCTGTAATCATAAAGCCTTGTACCCCAAACCAAAGCCTGATGATGAAGGCGAGCACTCAAAGAGCAGAGAAAAGAGCATCCGACCGCACGATTTCATGAGCGCAGTCACGCCATGACATCAGCGCTCATCTCCGAGGAGATTGTCGCGTTTATTGACTGCATTAAAGTGCATATAAGCCCAATTTCTGCCAGCCAGCATGTCTTTTATCATCATCTTGGGAGGGCATGATATCATCGAGCCCAGCGTCATCTTCCCGCTGCCAGATCATGTTCAGAGACGAGCGAAATACTTATTTAAACAAGAACCATCCGCACACCTCACTTATTTGATATGCAAGAGACTGCAATCTTACTGTCTGCGGTTTTGGTCTATTTTCTCTAATCTTCTTTATTCAAATATTTTTCTTTTTAGTTTCTAAATAGTATTAAGACTAAGCCTAGTTTGAAGACTAATACAACTTCAAAAGAGAAAAGTAAGCCTAACTAGATTTGCCATTTTCTAATTTATAAAAAAGAAAAAAAAAGTGTTACTTTAAAGTGATTGCCTGGGTGTTGCTATGCTGTTGCTTGTGTGTTTATTATAGAATGGCTATAGTTTATTAAATATATTTTTAGGTTTTTATTGAGAAAATTAATTAAGCCAATTTTATTAACACATTTTGCATTTATTTTCATGAAAATTAAGTCAATTTAATTCCCCAAATTCAAATTATTTGTTTGAATTATTTTGAATTCGAGTAATTTGAGTTAATAAGAAATTTGTATTTATGAGTTGTAACTTATTAAATTTTTTAGTTGTAATTTCCATTATTTTCAATGTTGTAAAACTTTAAAATTTGCACAGTATTTATTAAATTTAAGTCTGCATATTTTAAATAAATGCTCATTATGTTTAAAACTTTACAATTTAAATAATACATCATACTTTTTTCTCATCAAAGTAATATCATTACCGTAATGGGGATTTTGGGGGAAAATGCAAATGAGATACACGAGCAAAAAGTTTTTATTTTACATTTTGCTTTTGCTAAGGTTTTTTGGTGGTTGTTTGGCCATTGTTTATTTTATTTTTATGTTTCATTAACACTTTTTGCATTTATGTTCATGACCGTTAAGTATATTTAATTCCCCAACTTCTATTTATTTTGTGAGTTATTTTGAATTATTTTTCTGATTAATTTGAGTTGTATTTTTGAGTTTGAATTTAATTTTAGCGTTTTCCTTTTTCACGATTTCAAATACAGTAAAATTTGCAATATATATATATTTTTTAAGTCAGCATATATTAAATAAACACTCATTCTGTATAAAACCTTTACAGCTTAAACAATATATCATACTTTTTTTTTGATGAGAATGAGATCTTTTGTCATTACTGTAACAACGCAAGTGAGAAAAACATTTTTACATAATTTTACATAATTTTTCTTTTACATAAATTTAAAACATACATTTGAGGTCATATCTGACCAACTTGTGTAAAATTAATTTTAAACATTTTAAATTGTATTCCAATGATCTCATTCCAAAGTTCCTTGAACCAGTAATTTATTGTCTGTGCATATGCCGATACAGTATATGTTTTGGCATGTTGCAGTACAATTTTTAACAGTCTTGCCCAAGAATTTTAATATCAGAACAGCGGAGGCTTTTGAGCTGCGACATCATGTGAAATGAAGATCCAGCATTTTCTAAACACCACCCGTTTCACTCGCGGCCCCTCCTCAGGTATAGAATTATCTCTGATGTTCAAGCTGCAACACATTAAAGGCTGTGTGTGGATGACTTCATAGTGAAACCAGAGCCTTTTACGACAGTCATTAACCATGTCATATCCAGGAGCGACGCAAGCATATGGCCCGCTGCCGAGTGACGGATCTGCTAAATGATAAACCTAATAAAAAAATTGGCAAAAAACGGGGGAATTTTCATTTCGGTGCACCCCTACTCTACACTGCTCCAGGGGGTTAATAAAGCCTGCGGATGATGTAGGACGTAAGCGTAGTGTGATATCTGGTGAGAATATGCTAGTCTTGCGAGAACCAAGTTTTGTTTACAGCAAAGGAAAACCAGTCTCCTCTTGGCTTATATCGAAATCTTCCGACATTTTTCTTTACAAATCCTCGTTTTGTACTTCTAATTCGTGACCAGTGTTTTGTTTTGCTCGCTCCTCTGTGCTTCCGCGTTCGTCACCGCGTTTGACTACATCATCCGCTGGAATGCCACTTTTTCGCGAACGCATGTGCAACGGTTTGCGGAAGCTAGTGATTACGGTTTATAAAGTTTTAAATATGGATATTTTTCTTACTCAAACACATCAAATCGCTTCAGAAGGCCTTATTAACCCACCGCAGCTGTGTGGAGCACTTTTTATGATAGATGGATACACTTTATTGGACTTCAAAAAATCAACAGCCATTCACTGCCATTACAAAGATTGGAAGAGCCAGGACATTTTTTAATATATCTCCGATTGTATTCGTCTGAAAAAAGAAAGTAATATATAGGGCTGGGTATCGAGTTCGATACTTTTTAGGCACCGACCGAATTGCCTCGATACCATCGAGTATCGAAAAACGTCTCGTCGTTCGGTACCAAATTTCGATACCTAAGGGGTTAATCTCATCAGCGTCAGTGAGCCAATAAGCCTGCAGCACTAGCCGGTGTGTTCGACTAGAGGCGCGGCGCAGATCGATCATCCGCGAGAGCGATTCGAAAGCACACGGAGCAGTCTGCTCTCTTTGGTATCGGTATCGATATCGAAAATTTTTGAACAATACCCAGCCCTAGTAATATACATCTAGGATGGCTTGAAGGTGAGTAAATCATTGGGTAATTTTCATTTTTAGGTGAACTATCCGTTTAATACTAGTTTGAGGGGTAACAAATATTCTAAAACAACTTTCCTCTTTTACAGACTTTCACCTCCGTCACGTCTGCTTTCTCACTCCATCACGTTGTTTTCTCTGCTGTTCAAATGTGACCACTCAGCTCCACACGCTGTCAAGGGGTCAAAGGTCAGTCCTGAAGGCATCATTTGTTCAGAACACATGGCATTCCTGTGCTTAAATTAGCTTGTGCACTTTCATTGGGACGAAACCTGTCGAAACAACTGTTCCCAAGGCCCAGAACAAAGACGCAGGGAGAAAGTCCGAAGCGGTTCATTTGAGAGCGGACAGAGACGAGAGCGCAACGCCAGATATCAGAAGCTGCTGAAAGCATAAACACCTCAGATGTTTTTGCATTTAATTGAAGCCAAGAATCTTTTCTGGACAACATCTGAAGACCATCTTCAATTTTGGAATGTTTCGCTTGAAGGGAAGATTCCGAAACATGCCGATCTGCTACTTTTAAATATCCACACTACGTTTAAAAGGTAAGCGCATCTGTTTTGCGTTGTTGCGCTGCCTCACCCTGACCGAAAGGGTCACCCAGGGGTCTCCTGCTGTCTCCGCCGTCCCGCTCTTATCGCCAGGCTTCTCTGTTCTCAGTCAGAGAGGAAGTTTTGACAGCCAGACTTTACAACCTCCTCTCCCCCTGCCTGCGCTTTGCACATGCTCTAACAGAAACTCCGGGCCGGTGACTTCATCCCTCATTCACGAAAGCTTCCCCTCCTCCTCCTTCCCTCTCTCTCTCTCTCTCCGGCAGCATGCCAGCCGTTTTCCTCTTGCTGCGCTCTCTGGTTGTCAGTCTCCTCAGTAGCAGATTAGCAGCCTCTGCCGCGCAGCTCCTTCGCAGAAGCCTGACGGCGGCTGCTGGGCACCTCGGCACCGTGCTGCGCCACGTCTGGGAGCGGATCAGTTCCCAGGAGTCCAAGGAGGCCATCCTGGGCTGCGTCCTGTGCATTCTAAACATGCACAAGAAGGTGGACAACTAAATTCGAGAAGAACGAGAATAGCTTGGACTTTTTAATTTGTGATTAAAACGAACCATGTCGGAGAGCATCGCGAGGAAAATCCAGCCGTTCACCATCGGGACCAAACTCTCTGCGCCGGCCGTGCCAAAGTGCTCGGACTTTCCCGATGGTTTTCTTCCGAATCGGACGTTCTCGGATAACCGCAAACTGAGGCACCTGAACGAACAGGTGTCTCTTTATCTCGGCCGCGACAGGCACTGCGGACCTGCGGCGAAGCATCGGCGCGAAGAGACGTCCGACGACCACCTGAACCGAAACACAGTCTCCCCACCGAACACTGCGTCCAGGTCCATTCGTAAGATCACCATCTCCAGCCGAATTGAGGCTGCGAAAGACAGACTGACTCCAGGGATGGAGTTGAAGAAAATAAGAGCAAACTCTGAGAATATTAATAACAATAACAACATCACATCCGCCAACACGCAGCTGCCTAAAATAGTGGGTGTCAGCTGTGAGAATAAACCCAGCTCACAGTTCAAGGTAAGACACGCTTATTTTAATTCATTTGTAAAAATTTGAAGTCCAATCAAAAATCCAATCAGAATGAAAGTAAATGAAAATATTTGTTGTTTTATGTGAAGCCATCATTGCTTTTTAATGCAGGCATACAAAGAGTATTAAGGTTGTTTGTATTAAGGTTAACAAAAATGCCTTTTTTGTTTTTTTTGGTCTATAAAATCTATTTTTAATTTTAAGTAGTGCTGTCAAATTATTAATCGCGATTAATCGCATCCAAAATAAAAGTTTTTGTTTGCATAATATATGTGTGTTCTGTGTATATTTATTATGTATATAAAAATGCACACACATACAGTATATATTTTGAAAATATTTACATGTATTTACATGTCTATATTTATATTCATATAATTGATATTATAAATAAATTTAATATATAAAAATAACAAATTTTTCTGAAATATATACATGCATGTGTGTGTATTTATATATACATAATAAATATACACAGTACACACATATATTATGCAAACATAAAAACTTTTATTTTAGATGTGATTAATCGCGATTAATCGTTTGACAGCACTAATTGGTCATTAACTCATTTATTTAATACCAGAAAATGGTATACATTTTTTTTTTTTTTTT